GCGTCGATTGCACCCGTGGATCAATAACTTCAACGAATGGCTCTTAACTGCATGTCGATCAAACATGGACATTAAGTTCATCTGGAGTGGAAATGACGCTAAAGCATTAGTTTACTATATAACTGATTATGTAACAAAGTCTACTCTGGCCTTCTATGATATGTTTGCGCTGGCACAACAAGGCATCAAATCTATCGAGCATGAACGAATTTCTAATAGCACAGATAATATTGTTGGCAAATCGCGTAAACTAGTGTTACGCTGCTTTAATATGATTGCTTCACAACAAGAAGTTTCAGGTGTTCAAGTAGCGTCATATCTAATGAACTATGGTGACCACTACACTACACATACGTTCAAAAATCTTTTTCTCATTTCAATCGAAAACTATCTACAAACAGAACTAAATAAAGCACGAATTAACGAAAAAGAAATTGTTGAAGAGAGAATAGATGGTAGAACTTTTTAAAGTAATTGTATAGATTTTTAATATGTAGTTTTCTAGAGACTTCAACGCCCTTCTACGATGAACAAGGAGAAGATAAAAACGAAATTGAAGAACAATTTTTATTAGAACCTACAAAAATCAACAGCGGCGATCAGTATGTCTTGGTCAATACTCGTCTTGACTATCAGCATCGATCAATGGATCTAAATGCATTGTGTTTATATGACTTTGTGAGCCATTTTCACAAGAAGGTTATCGATAAATCGGATCGTCATTTACTAAAGAATGTAACCGATCCTCAGGGCCAACAATTACCTACAGAAGGAACGAAAATGAATGAACGTCATACATTTGACAGCGTACATCCACAATCAACATCTCATCTCATAATTAAACGTTCCATTCCAGTAGTACCAGTTCTGATAGGTCCTCAAATACCTCGCCGCGAACGAGAAGAAACGCATGAACGTTATTGTCGCGCATTGTTAACATTATTCGTTCCATGGCGATCAGTTCAGGACCTTTGTGCACTGAATGAGACATGGTCTGAAGCATTGGAAGCTCGAAGACTGTTGATCTCTCCCAACTCGCTTAAGATTATAGAAAATATAGAACTTTTGCACGAATGCAAACACGATCGGGATGAACATCTTCATCAAGTTCTTTTAGAAGCCCAAAATGAAAACAACATTGACCCTATTTTGATGCCTAACTACTATGAAGGTGATGAAAATGCAGACAAAGATGATCCGGAACAACTTTTGCAAATGCTTTTCATCGTAAATGAGACCACCACAAACGCTTACTCTGCATTGACAGTTACTCAAGAACAACGCTATGTTCATGATGCATTACAAGCAATTGATAATACAGACAGATTTGCACTACTCAATGGTCAGTTAATTACTGCCATATTTCGAAAATATTTAGTTTGATTTAGGCCGTACACGTTGTCCGAGCGAAAATAATTATGGCACCATACACGACATCAACACATTTGTGGTAGCTCACGCACATCACAGCGTCATGATTAAAGGATGGAAACGTGACATTGAAGGTCGACGAGATGAAGCAAGAAACTATTTAATTTCAGGTGAAAATACTCTGGAAGTGCGAGATGATGAAACACAGATTGAAGTCGTAGCAACTGAAATTCCAACAAGTCCCATTAAAACGAGAGCTACAAGAGTTCCACCTGTGACTACAACCAATGCAATATTATTTCCAACAAAACAAGATATTATCAGACAATTTACACTAAGCACTCAGCAAAAATATGCTTTTATGATTATAACTAGTCACTTAGATGGCGAAAATCATGCTTATACCGCTATATAATATTTTATTGATTTTGTTATTGAAAATTTTGAATAGTCTTGATATTTAGATACTATCGATAATCAGTTATTAATGTGCATACCTGGTTGCGGTGGTACTGGAAAATCTCAGTTGATTCGTGCAATTACCAAATATTTCCAAGTAACCAAGAGGGACAAGATGTTGCGTAAACTGGCGCCAACGTCTATAGCAGCAGCTGAGATTGACGGATTAACTATCCATTCATTTTTAGGTGAAAGTCGCAAAAGCACTAAAAAGAAAAATACCCGTACATTTAGACCTGGCGATACGAAATTGGAAAATGAATGGCGTCATGTGAAGTACCTGATAATCGATGAGATGAGTATGGTTGGACTTAGCCTATTAGCTCGTCTCAATCGAATAGTGAAAACAGCCAAGCACGTAAATTCTGAGATACCTTTTGGTGGTGTCAATGTCATTTTCTTTGGCGACTATCTTCAATATTCTCCTGTTTTAGACAAGCCACTCTACTATAACTGCGCATCGACACAGCAAATTACAGAACGTCAGATAGATATGTTATGTTCACAGAAGCTTATGTCTGAAATAAACTGCGTTGTTGAATTAACTCAGCAAATGCGAACCGAAGACATAAGATATTTGGAGCTTTTAAATAGATTAAGAAATGGACAATTGACAATAGAAGATTACCAACTTCTGTGTATGAGAGTCATAGGAAGTCCAAAACTTCAAGTATCTCTACAACAAAAGCCATGGAACGAAGTATGCACACTCATTTTCTCTGTGTATCACATTACTTTTCTTTTAATAGGCTACAATACTGGTTTTCGGAATACGCTACGCACTCAAATTAACAATAGGGCTGTCTTAAACAAAACAATGGAAATGGGACTTAGCCCAATTGTATGTATTGCTCAAGATTATATTCAAGGAAAAACTGTGGATGATTTACGATTACGTCAAGCGATACTTGAATTACCTGATAATAAAACAGAACATCTTCCAGGCTATTTACCTCTCGTACCAGGAATGCCAGTTTTACTCACAGAAAACGTTGCTACTGAGCTCGGACTGTCTAACGGTACACGAGGAATCTTTCGTCTTGTATACAATGAATCACCAGAAGATGTTCGATACCAAGATAAGAATTTTCCATTAAATACCAAGTTTATAACGCAACCAAAGTACGCTTTAGTAGAATTTCCTGGTTGCAAGCTTGATAACAAACTTGCTGAACTACAGTCCAAAATAGTTCCTATAGCTATTAGTGAACAAACATTCTTGTTTGACGCCAAAGAACTTCTTCCAGCAAATGTAGCAAAAGCGGCTAAAATTAACAAGAAAACAACAAAACTCACCGTCAAACGTAAAGCACTTCCACTTATACCAGCATATAGCATGACTACACATAAAAGCCAAGGTCAAACACTCGGTAAAATTATCGTCGATTTGGTGATGCCGCCTGGTCCAATTGAACTCGCATCGGTTTATGTTTCATTATCTCGTGTAAAGAGACTTGACGATTTACTAATCATACGTCCATTCGAATTTGGAACACTTCAAGTTAAACCATCAACGGCCCAAATAGAAGAACTTAAAAGATTAGATAAAATAGCACAAAGAACTCGGAAACGTTTTCAATTCATTGTTAAAACAACAACGTCCCAAGAGTGCCGTGATCTTCAGGCAAACCATCTAACTGATAAAAAAACTCTATATTGCATGCTCGAAATCTGTCCGTTATCCAATTATAGCCATTAGATCATTTGTAAAACCTCTATGAAACTCTATTTGAAATAAAAGCCATCAAGATAAAAGAGAATGAAAAGAATTTGAACAGTGTAAACCCGCTGTATCCGTAGGAAGTCACTATTGCTTGCGCATTCAATCCGAATCCCAAGCAGCATTTGACAGCTATACACTACAACAAAAGCTACATTTCACACGCGCCATATCAGAAAACTTTCTTAAGTACGGATTTCAGAAAGGACCAGTAATGACAACATAGTTTTCTTACCAACATCGCCGCTAATACTCGCAGTGCACTTTCATGGGACCTCGTCGTAATAAACCGACAAACTATATCGAGAACTAAAGGTAATCGAACGACCCTCATTTCATTAAATAAACTTCCATAAACCACAAGCATAGTAGCATTAGCTACCACACCCCACTAAAAATTCCAGAAAATATCGAAGAATACTGCCTCAATAGGTTTTCCAACCATCCTCAAATCTAAACTTTCAGTTGCAAAACATATAAGGAGCATATAGGTGCAGGATCAGTGGGCCTCGCTGTGGGATGCATAAGAACACGTTTCATTTAATCCCAAGTCCAAACACACACCCACACTCCAACCCATCCAAACGTACCCAACATCTACACCCACACTCACGCACACCCAGACCCGCACACTCACATCCACAGCCACCCACACCCATATATACACCCACACTCACCACAACCACACTCCATCAAAACCACACCCTACATCATACCCCACTGACACCTACACCCACACTCACACCCTCACCCACACCCACACCCATTCACCCTCAAACCCACTCGCATCCACTCACACCCTCACATCCACACCGAACTGGAAACCTTAAATTGGTGCAACTCCGAACTCACAAAATCTCATTGGTATAAAAGTAACGCTCGTCCGGGGACTCGCTCAGCTCTTTCTCCTAGAAATGGTGTTTCTGAACTATCAACAAACCATTTACTTGTACAATTTCAAAAAGTGCGAACATACAAGCAATCAAACAATTTATTTTTGCTAGACTCTTCTCTACGAGAAAGGGAATAAAAATTCTTTTTTTGTAAAAAAAGTGGCCCTTTGTTTAAAAGAATGATCCACAAAATAATTTCAAAAAACTGACCTCAGATTCGAGTTCCTCGACCTCGATTACCTTTGACCAAGCTTTATAAAAAAAATTATTTTTAGCAAAAAAAGTGATCCTTTGTGTAGAAACATCGATCCAAAAAAAAATTTCAAAAAATTAACATCAGATTCGAGTTCTTCGACCTTGATTACCCTTCGGTCAACCTTTATAAAAAAAATTTTTTTGTAAAAAAAAGTGATTCTTTGTGTAAAA